CACGGCGGAGGTAATGTATTCATTTTGATCCTATTAAGTGGAATGAGTGGATGAACTCTTCGATGTATCCCCGAATTATCCTATTATTCGACGTTCGCTTCTCTCGTATTCTTTGTTATACTTTTCTGAAATTAAGAATATGATCATGATTTCTCTTTCTCTCTCGACGAATTGTCGTGGAGAGATAATAATAATATATAATAATGATACGTCGAATTGCACGGCTCAAATGCAACCGCGAAATTACATCCCGTTGTAATTTGCCGAAGAAAGCGAGAGTGAGGGACGCGTTGCGCATAAGTGAATTTACTCGTACTTGAATCGACGTACGCACGCTTCCTGTCTTTTGCCTTTCAACTCTAAACAATGCGGAGGGCGGAATTGTAAGACGACCTGCTTTCTGCTGCGGGGCTTCTCTCCCCTTTCAAAGAATTCCTACGCTTTGTTGCGGCGGGGCGCACACCTCGCGCAAGAAACCACATCGATCGTCTCTCGAAGAGAGGCAGAGAGAGAGAGAGAGAGAGAGAGAGAAATGAAACCCGAAATCACCGGCCCCATACCTGCCCGGTCGGTCGTGACACGCCAGTTTCTCGAAAGTGAGAAAAAGGGAACGCGAAAGTGGGCGTCGCTATAAGGTGATCCTACGGTAATGATGCGGGAACACGCGGTGGGACATATTTTCGGATGAAGAATGAATGACGCCGCTTCGGCGGATAAGGGATCAACTGGACAATAATAACGTCACCGAATAATAATTTCGGTCTCTCGATATTTGCGCATTGCTCCCACGAACATTAGACACGGACGGATCCAGTTACTACTGAACTTCTACATCGGCGTTTTAAACACACATTTTCCTCAACGTCGTAAGAATACGCTCTCTTGGGACGAAGAAAGATACCACTGAGTTTCTTCGACTGAAATTTCACTCGGAAAGGACTTATGGAATGACCTCCGAGTCTTTTGAAGTTGAATGACCTCCCCCGAGCCCTTCGATACAGAATGACTTTTCATTCATACAGGGCGAATTCTTTCTCTCTGAATCGTCGAGTGAATATCTACGTTCGAAATTGAAGAGTGAATCTGATGTACTTCACCATTGCTGGAACAAATTCACTCTAATCAATTGAAACACTCACTCTTGCGATTCTGAGCGAAAGTATCTTCACTATTGCTTAGAATGAATTTTCACTCTTTTTGTGAATAAGATTCCACCATAAAAAAGTATATTCTAATAACTACATAGAGGTTTTGGATATAATTGGCGGAATAATTCTTAAAAATGAAACTAACTATTCTCCGGATTATTTTCTGTTATTTATGTACTACTGTCTAAAAATGGCTCTTCCATCATTTCATTTCCTTAGAATCCGGACGATCCTCTTTTCTCTTAGGAATTTAAATATATACTGCAGTAGGAAACCACGCGAATTTGCTACGAACGCTTTCGCCCGCAACGAGACGAGATCCCATCGCCGAGGTGCTCCTTCATCGTCTCCCCAGTAACGACTTTACGGTTCACGCTACATCCTAATTTCATGGTCTGACCATGAACAGCGGCATCTGAACTTTCCCATAGCCAAGACTTTATAATGGTATCGGAGCGAACGCTCCGATCATCTCCCGGGCTCTCTGAGCTCTTAGCGTTTACCGCACTCGTCACATGTGCGATATTCCTCGTACGGGGAGGCAGGGGTAAATCGGTCTGGAGTGTCCAGGCTCGGACGAGGGTGGACAAGAGAGGGTGGCGGGACAGAGGAGGTTGATCGTGTCTCGACGAGGCACGAGAAGGGGATGCGCGGTCCAGCGCGCGGAAGGGGGTATCAATAGCTCGTTAATCGCGACGAAGGGTGGGTATTCGGAGCGATACATATCCTGCGACCCTTGTGCCGCCCCCACCGCTCTCCCTCTTGAATTGAAATTTATTTAAAACGACGCACTGACGTGCCCCAGGGGTTTGCGTCCCATTCCTCCCTCGCTCCCTCGTGTGAATCGCGAAAACGCGGCGCAGGTTGCCGGGACACTGGCTGCGCTCTCGAGTCAAGTGCACGCAAGATTAAACCTTCCACCGTTCTGTCTCGCCTGGATGGTCACGCCGCTTTCATCGCGCACCGACGACCCTGAGAACACGGCTCACCTCTGGACTTGAAATCACCTCGCCAAACTTCTCCCACGAAGCTACCGCCTGCTCATAGTGGACCACTCGCATGCACTCAGCTCGCCTTTTATGTGAGATATCGCGAATAGCTTGCCTTGCAAGAGGCGTGTACTCGGCGGCAATGCTCGTGTCACATGCAGAATCGGTCCAGACGAAATGGGACATCCGTCTATATAGATTATCCACGATTCCACGTCTGTCATGTTCAAGCATGGAGCTTCTGTTTCGTCTTACGCGACCAGGAGACCTATTCTCGACGCGTATTAAACGTTAAATATACCTTTCCTGATTTTAAATCTGAAACGTTATAGGTGACGATCTTATAAGAAAAACGAAACTTGGAATTAGAAGGGAATACATAAAACTTCTAAATACTCGCCGCGGAACTGATTGGTTGATTGTTGACGTCGGAAGCGAGGGAATGTTTGTCCAAAATTCATGCAAATTATGTCGAAATAAAGAAATATATCCAAGAAATGACACTTGCAATCAATTTAGCAAGGGGCTAGTCAGGAGCTTTAACGTTCGCTATGTATCCGGATAAGATTTCAGCTCGAGGAAACGAGGAACTTCTACTGAGATGATCGAATAATTGCTAATTTAATTGACTCGATCGTTTCAGAGGGTGCAGTCGAAGATAGGAAAGTTCTCATAGTAATAATTGCAATTGCGGAGCTATGTGAGAAATACGTTACGAGATCGCGAGTTGCATTAACATCGCGAGAAACAAGTAAAAAAGAGCTGCTTTAGCTAAGGAGAATAGCTTTAAGGAAGAGGAAAAAAGCGAAGTGAAATACAGTCAGTGCATTTCTCGAGAAAATAATGATATGGGAGATTAAAGGCCTCCATAGACTGTCACTTCACAATCGCTGGAAGAGGCTGGTCTTTCATCTGTGTTAATCGCGAAATGAATTCGCGGATGAGTCGCTATGCCATTATATATATCGCATTATGCATATTCGGAAGAGACGTGAGGTCTCTCTCAGAATCGTATTCAGGATCTACGCGGATCAGACGGAAAAAAATACGTCGTTATCGTTCTCGTGCATTCGACGCGCGACGTAACGTTTATATATTCACGTGGGAAAAGTGCGCTGGCACTTTTTCCACAAAAGTAAAAATCCGCTTATCACGCGAGGGCACGCGTGTAAATAAAAACGCCCTCGTTCCCTGTTCCCTTATTTTCGCGACTGTGGGGATTGATCCCAATTGTGCGCTCATGATCTGCATTTCATCAATTCGTTCTCTCTTTCTTTCTCTTTCTCTCTCTCTCTGTCACGACGTGCTCGCTTTTAAGGCAGGAAAGAAAGACGGAAAGGAGGGAGCGAGAGAGAGAGAGTGAAATATTGTCATTTGCATCGGCCGCGGCGTCGAGACACGGGGTGTTTCGTGTCCGATGACGAGGAAGAATACGAGGGGCGGCGTGGCCTCGCAACTCGAGCCCAGCATTTAGCAGCGAGATTAATCGCGATCGTGTGCGCGGATAATACGCGGGACAAGGCTGCAGAGGGGCGACGAGGAGTGCACAGGTGTATCCCCGTGGAAATTTCGGGACAGAATGGTACTCGACGAATTAGCCCCTCGTAGAAGTGGCGCCACTGATACACAGCAAGGTGCTACGGGAACGCCGATCTTGATATTTGAGGACGACACACGGCAGACTGTAAGCAGATGAGGAACATTTGTCGTTAAAATTTAAATCAAAAGAAAAAATATTCCCTCGGGAAGAGAAAAGATCGCGTATCCTTTTGAAAACACAGGCTAACATTCGCTAACGCGATGTTGAGTCTGGAAAGCAAGGACGATCTGATGATAAGCGCGAGTATGTCACGTGTTTGTTTGTTGGCGCCGAATAAATTAAATGTCAAGATTTCTCAAATCACGGTCATTTCTTTCTCGCAGACCTAGACATTGGTCGCAAAAGAAGCTCCTGGGGATAGAAGATGACGCGAGAGAGACGTAATTATGGTAATTCCATTGAAACTTGTGAATGCCGTACTCGAGAAATCTTGCTTCGAGAAAGTCGTTTGAATAGTCTATGCATGTATAAACAACGCGGTTGGCGGAGTTCATTACGAAGATAAAGGCAGAGGAAACATCGAAATGCACATAGAGTCATATAAAATAAATAAATAGCTGATTAAAGCAAATAAGAAGAAAAAAGGCTCAAAACTCGAGTGAACAAAAGAAAATGAGAAAATATTAGTTTTTACTCAAGTTCTCTCTCCAGAGAATTAGCACAGACAAATACGTTTGCTTAGAAATATTTGTTACAACGCATCAGTACATACATCTGTGACATATTTTTTATTTAACAAATACGTTCGAGTTCGTGCAAAGTGACTCGTGTGAGGTCACGTCTCTGCGACCCCGTATGATTATATGGACTGAGAAAATCAACGGGAGTTTTATGCGAGGGAAACATCACGAGAGAGAAACATCGGGGTTGCGTTTAAGGGCCCGAGGATGCACCGGCTAATATAAACATTACACCGCTGGGACCGACTTACCGCGGGGGGCTTTTATACGGGGTGCATCTCTCGCGGCAGGTTTCAATAGGAAAATCATCGTATATTATATCGCGGTCGTGTAACTCGCGCATACTGACGTTACTATCATGTACGGGAGACCATATGCGATGATTTTCGGTTAGACGATCGATAGGCTTCTCCTTTCGCTCTGAGAGGAGAAATGGATTCCTATCATATTTCTTTTTTTTCTTTTATTTTAATATTCCGTGCTACGATATTATGAAAAAAACGTTACGAGAAACGTTACGAGAAACTCTAATAAATAATCAAAAAATTTTCCATATATCTAAAATTCTTTTCCTTTTTTTCAGAGTAACTACACCTCCGAACACGCAGACCCTAACATCCCCCGGTAGGTTGGGAGGCCCTATCGAGAGGCTGCTGGTTGAGTTAGCATTATCGGTGCTTATCATGCTGGCACATTTCGCCGCGGACTCACCTAGATCACTGCCACCTGCAATCTCCACGAAAGCTTCCGGAGTTTTGGCCGCAGCTTACACAGCAGCCACGCTCGTTTCCGTAAGTTCGCCTTTTTTGATCATTTGTAATCATGTTCCTTCGACTAAAAAAGACGATTAAAATCGAAGAACTTATAAGAATGAAATATTTCATAGTTTTTTACGATTCCTATTTATTTCCATTGTGGAAATGAAGTTAAATATTATAAAATGTGTGACGCAATATTTATAATTTAATATCTTTAAATGTACAATTTATATAATGTGATGAAAGATCGTTATAGAATAATTAAATTGTATCGACTAAGAGTAATTTGCTTTTTTCACGGTCAATTAATTCTACGTGTTTTTCTCTCGTTAAATGGTCGCTATACGAGGAAAAGATGCTCTTCTTTCTGCAAACGTGTGTACGCGCAATAAAATAAAAGAACAACGCATTCTGCTTTCTTCCGCCGTGCATGTCCTCTCTTGCAATCACTATGTCCAAAAGCGTGTCTCGGGTTCTTTCCAATCGAGCCGACGTCCGCATCTTTAAAGAGCACCTGCCGTTGCACGAGAGAAGAGTGGGGTCGCGGAGAACGGTGGGCAGGAAGGTGAAAGAAAGAACTTGATCCTGGACCCACCTGCTCCGGAACGAGTGTACAATGCACCCCAAAATGAAAAACATCGAAACTACCATTCTACACGCGTTGAATGTCGATTCTCTCCCATCAGCGAAATCGAGCAAGTCCGTTGCTTGCAGTACAAACTAAATTTTCGATCTAATCGCTCTTCCTCTGTTTCTTGATAATTTTCAAAAACTACTCCACATGCAAGTACAGAAAGTATATGTAAGATAAAAAATTTGTATAATTCACCTGATAATATAATAATCATTTGATTCCACGATTTCTGAAATATTCTAGAAATTGTTGGAATCGTATTATTCTTAAAAGTTCATCGACCTAACATCGCTTTTCCTCGACATTTTTCAGAGCCCCTTTCTAAATCCAGCACGCGCCCTTGGTCCGGCCTTCGTGATGAATCGCTGGGACAACCACTGGGTATACTGGGTAGGCCCATTGTCGGGAGGCGCCGTGGCAGCGCTGCTTCACGAATACGTTCTGAGTCCCAAACGCACGAAAGACCCGCGTGAGATGGACGACGGCGATAATTCGTCCATGAGGTCCGACGAGGACACATACGATGATCTCGACAAACCGAACGGACCTAAATTCCCTGGCGCATACGCGACCTATCGTCCAGTCGCCGGTGCGTCTTCGTCGATCTACAGCGCACCGCCGTCGGCGTTAGAGCGCGTCGAGTCGATCTACGGCGGCACCAAGTCGCTCTATTGCAAGTCGCCACCGTTGACGCGCGCTAATCTCAATCGCTCGCAGAGCGTTTATGCGAAATCAACATCAGGTCCGCGGGATGGCCTGATGATACCGAAACCGGGGCCGTTGGTGCCGGCGCAGAGTCTGTACCCCATTCGTCTGGGTGGCCAGAATGGCTGCCAAAACGGGCTGATCCGTGAGAACCAGCCTGTAACCGGTGGTAGCGGCCCTGGCGGCGGAGGAGGAGGAGGAGGAGGAGGAGGCGCCGGCGGTCCGCCGAGCCAGACCTCGCAGAACCACAACAGCACCAATCAAAATATGCAGAATCAACTGCAGCAATGCACACAAAGCATCTACGGCATCCGCGGCATCTCCACGAGCCTTAGCACACGGGAGAACGGTATCTACGGGGTGTCCACAGGCTCTAGCGTCTATGGTCGTGCGCCGGCTCCGCCGCCGGGCAGCCAAAACTCGCAGCAATCCGCTCAACAAGGTGGTCAGTCCTCAGTGCAGAACCATCCACCACCACCACCGTCGCAGCAGCAACAACAGCAGCAGCAGCAGCAGCAGCAGCACCAACATCAGAACGGGCCCTTATCGACCGCCTCTGACAGCGGGCCAAATCCCAGACGACCTGAGAGCATGTACGGCCATGTGTCGAGGCGCAGCGATGATTCTGCGTACGGTAGCTATCAGAGCTCGACGAGGGGCAATTACGGCAAGGTACCGGGACCACCTGGCCCACCCAACGGTCCGCCAGGGCCGCCGCAGTATCGCGATCAAGGTAGACCGAGTCCGGCCGGACCGCTCCAACAGAGTCAGAGCGCGCAGAGTAACTTCCAAAGAAACTCACCGAATCCTCAGTATTGACTATAGACTGAAGGTCGATGGATGCTACGAGGGTCATCGTGCCATTGGCAAATCGTTCCCGATTGCGAAGGATCCGCCCGCGGAATCGTTTTAATTCGTGCAGCCGAATACGTTCTGATGATTTCGAAGTAGAGCGTAATTTCTAAGCGATTAGAAAAATCTGTAAATAGACTTTAGTTAATGAATGTTTATATAATTTTTTTACGTGTCTGCTGCTGTCGTATGATAATTCTTTCTGCGTTGAAAGATACGGATGTCAAACCCGTAAGAGGATTAATAAGTGATGAGAGAAATAAAATACGCGACACAATAATTTGTCGCCTGTCTTATTTATCGCCAGTGTTGTGATCTAAATTTAGACTTGTCTATCTTTAGAATGGTGATCCAAGTTTAATGATAATCTAATCTACGAACTGAGAGATGTGACTGTATATAGAACTTTATAGAGATGTAGAATTATGATTTATTATTTATAATGGTATCGAAAGTTGAATATATTTCCAGAAAAAACGAAGACGCATTTTTTGTATTTTTTTGTTGTGTATACTAAGGTCAATTGATAATGAAAACAATATTTAATGCACAATTGCAAGATTGAACATGTATCATTTTTGTACAACATACACAATTCTCGTGGATTTCAGTCTAATTTAACTCTTATTTCATATCAAATAGCAATAATTCAATGTCAGCCGAGTGAATAATTAGAAAATTCCTGTACAATTATCGATCTGATTAAGCTTTAGATATAGTTCGTGCCAAATATTTTCCAGTGAATATTCTTCAAGGAGCAATCATAAAGATTATAGTGCTCATCTTAAAAATTACTCGTGGAAAGCTAATTACGCACAATATAAATTATCTTTACTGTGAACATAACACTATTACTCGTATCTCTCACAGTTATAAGAAATCTATCTATGCCATATAACCATCAAATAGTAGGAGTTTTATATATAAAAGTAAAAAACAAGATGAATATCGTTATTTAAACATATGCAAGGTACTATGTAACATACCAATACGAAAAATGGCAAAGTAAATAGATTTTCGTATCATAGAAATTATTATGTAAAAGTATTTGTACATATTATATGTATTTATTAATTTGTATCCATATATGATAATTGTAAGTTTTGATAATTGTTACATTCGTATATCTACGCATTTCTAATATATACATATTATAAACAGTAATATAATGTAGTATATATTAGAAAATCATGACAATAAATGTATTTAAAAAAATACAACGTGTTGCCATCTTTTTTACGCGGGAGTTCTACGCCCAGTATGATTTAGTAATAAAATATTAACTTGTATGTTATTCTCAGCGAAAACATTGAAACTACACTTTGGAACAATAGCCGACCAGTTAAAAACTTATTGAATGTTTTTTATATGATTAGAAAATATGAAATCTCTTTAGAAATTATTTAATATGCATTTGGGAAGGTGACTACGGGCTGTCTGACGCTATCTAGCGATATTGTGGCAAACTGAAGTAACGCGGGACTTTTGAATCGGGGCTACTTTTATTTTATATCTGTAAATTAAAAGAGAGTTTCAAATACGTATTTTCAAATTTATATTCACAATTTAACAACATATTAGATGTCCTTTTTTTTTCAAGTTTTAAAATTTAGATCTTATTTTTAAATAGTACAACTCAACGACTGGTCAGACATCATTTCTTATTTTCATATATTATTATTATTAATTATTATTAATTAATAATATGAATTTGAAGATTTTTTTATTTTCGATTTAACGACGTATCAACGACGTAAACGTAAACTTTATTCTTCAGTGACACAATCAAACTGTCGTAAACTTTTGTTTCTATTTATTAATGAGGGAAAATATGATCGGGCAACGAATTATATTACTAAAAAATAAAATTTCGCGCAATATATTAAATAGTAAAAATTATCGATATAGAAATTTAAAAAATTTGGAAATATCGAGAAGATAATCGATAAGAAAGAATCGAGCATCGATTTATCTAATACTCGTATCTGTCTCATTTATCTTCAGTGTAAACGTTGAAAAACCGCTCGATAGTTTAAAAGCGGCGGTTGTGTGAACACATGGGCGAGAATGTTCGCATCAACGACTTTAAGACAAATCATGTCGTTTATCGGTCTCTTTGTTATAATTTGCACAATAATAATATCCACGGCACATAAATTAAACGTACCTCGAGTTTTGTTACCTGTATTCAATAATTTCGCTGTAAATTTTACGCTAGAAGTGACGGACGATGGCTGTTACAAATGGTGATTATTATTGTTTATCATATAAAATCGTTACATTGTAATATGTTTTCTTTAAATCGTAACGAAATGAAGTTATATAAATGCATTATCACAGTAAAAATTGACTTTTTCGTTATAAAATGTATTACCGGTGTTACTATAACCTCATTAGTATGAGTGTCTCAATGATATCTACCTTTAATGTTAAATGTAGTACTTACAGTACTTACGTACTTTTGAGAAAATTATAATAATACAAATTATATAATGTTTTTTCCACATATGTTCTAAATTATTCAATTAGTATCTATCTTCTATATTTTTTAATATTTCTCCTAGGTCATCTTCACGTTCTGATATCATACAATTGATTCCTGTGAATGAAAATTTTGAGAGGACATGCTCATCGGCGATATTAATTCAAACAATAACAAGAGAGTCAACGAGGAATACTGCTATTGTATTAGCTGAGGATATTAACACTGGTTCCTTTTTACGATGCGATGTCATAGTGGATGCTATCTTTTCCTTAAATCTCAGTACTACTACAAGAAAACTATATATTGAAGATATACCTGAAGCATTTGAAGTACGAGCATATGATGAACAAGGTAATATCTAATTAAATATACTTGCAAAAGAGAGGGAAATGTAGATTTAGATATGAAACATATAGCTATACTTTAGAAGCAAGTTTAAGAACAGATTATAAATAATTACACAGGAAACCAGTTTACAACTCTAGCTGGCATAGAATTTCTGTGGGAAATTGGTGATGCTGATAGACGCATACCATCTGATACTAAACCTATGAGTAAGGTATTGCGCTTTATGACTTATGAGGAGTCGCAATATGAAAGACCTGCTAGTATAGCTGCATTGGATAGTATTGGCAAAAGGGGTCATATTGTTCTCATAGAAGGTATCAGGACTGGTACAGCTAAGGTAAATCTATATTTCAATAAAACTATGTATGATATTGATGCTTCCAATCTGGGAAACTATTACAGTGGTAGCAGGATTTCATATTTCCAATCCATCCTTTAATACATATGAAAAAGTTCTAATTCAATGATTGTAAAAAGTCGTCCAAAAATTGCCCGGATTGTAAGAATTAAATAACATTACTGTTTTTAAATGCCTCAGCCCATGGAGATTATCAATTTTCTGAAATAATTTTTTCAAGGAGAAATTTTATTATAGGTATCCGTCAGATTGCCACACTCAGAATATAAACATGTTCCAGCCATAGAACTCGAGTTAATTGTCATTGCTAATTTAATCATTATACCACCGGAAATAACAATAATGACGCACGACAGTTTCAAATATAAAATAATGCACGTAAGTCCGATCTACTGAATTAATCATGTGTTATTATATAAATGGTGCACAAGGTTCGATGGCAAAAGGTCGAGGAAAAGGAAATCCTTCAACTTGATATTTGCATCGATATTTTTCCATTAAATTTTCATACGTTATATCCGAATAATTTAAATTTAATAAAGAAGACTTTTCGTTTTCTTTCTTGATTGATTATGTATTGTCGTCTTATGCTTGACGTCAATTTTTGCATTCTCACAGACTCGTCAAGGGCGATTGGAAGAAATCAGCCTGCCTTCGAGCCAATATTATCTGAAGGCTGAGAATTCCGACATACTAGATATCGATAATGATTACGATGTTGCGTATGCGCGTAAAATGGGACGTACGAAGGTGTTTTTGCACGACAAAAATGTCCGTGAGGAGTATTCGGTTATTCTACCTTCCGCCACAGTTAACGTACACGAAGTGACCAAGATTTCTCTTTCGGTTCTACCGAACAGAAATTGGGGATTGATTTTAGGTCACACTCATGAGATTATTGTCGAGTTATATGATAGGTGTGCATAATATTTTATTCCGTTATTTTTGTATATTCAATTCTTTTTGCATATATAACTCTCTTATTGCATCGCAATATATGTAAATTACAGCAAAGACCATAAATTCTATATCGGGGAGGGTGTGGACGTCTTTATGAAGATAGACGAACAATATTTTGAGTCTAAATTGGCAACACAAAATGGCACTTATATTGTTGGAATACCGATTACCTGCGGAACGATGACTGTAGAGGCGACATTGCGCGGTATAATCGATGAACACGGCAGGAAAATCACGTCCATGCCGCAACTTTTTACGACAGCTGAATTACTAATACATGAGCCGGTCAAAGTTCAACCTCGTGTCTTGGCAATCCCGTGGGATGTTGCAAACAGATCTAGGTAAATTTTTTCCCATATCATGTTTTTCACATATTTTGGTAGATATCTTGGCTAGAATTATATTTACATTATTATCTTTATCTTTTTCTTTATCTTTTTTTATTTGCGATAAACAAAGGAAACAATTTATTTTAAGTCAATTTTTTTGTTATCAGTTATTATTTATATATTAATTTTCAATTGCATTTTCGAAAATGAGACGGGGAAGAAATATAAAGAAATCAAGAATTAAGGAAATAAAAAAGAAATCGAGAATTCTGAAAATTGTAAAAGTTACGGCAAATAAATTACTGCTTTAATTTGACTCAATTTACTACATTGTACTTCCGTTTCAGATTTGACATAACATTGAAGTCAACCGGTGGAGACAGCTCGTATGTTTGGTCCAGCAGGCAACCATCAATAGTAGCAGTCTCTCAAAATGGTGGTATTAGGATTCTGTCGCCAGGTTCGGCAGAGGTGGTCGTTGCAATGGCTAGAAATCAATATAACAAGGACACCGCGAAGATCTACGTGTTGCCGCCCTCGAAGCTGAGGATAATCGAATACAACATGGAGGCGGCTGTGGGAGAACAGATCTATCTGCACATCGCGTTGTTCGGCAAATTGGTCAACGGCTCGGACGTCAAGGAGATACCCTTCAGTGACTGCAAGGATGTTCATTTCGATGTGCACATACCGGACGGGAATTTCGTGCAGGACTACAATAAAGACGTCCAACCGGTTGGGGCCGCTTGCGCTGTGATAATCGTCACTAATTATTGCTGCATCGGGAAATCTGACATCACCGTAGCTTACAATCTGAACGAGAATAATGTCTATCGATATCTAGTGGATAACGTTACTGTCTCAGCGTACGAGCCGCTCATGGCAATACATCCGGAGAGCAAAGAAACGTTACTCACGTTAGGTTCTTCGAGGAACGTGGTGTTCAAGGGCGGGCCGCTACCGTGGACCAACAGATCTCGAGATTACTCGCGGGAGATACATTTGTCTAACGAGGAGATTGCTGAGGTAACAGAGTACGAAGATCCGTCAAACGTTGGATCGCTTGACTGGACGGTCTTTAGGGTGACTTGCAAGGCCTTAGGCAAAAGCACGCTGACATACACGGTATCGAACGTGCCGCTGTTTCCTAATTGCAAACATACTCACGCGTTAGAAACGATTGAAGTCACTTGCGGCAAGCCAAGGTACATGTATCTGCAGCCCGAGTTCAAGGACAGCAAGAACTGTCCGATCAGCCAAAACGCAGATAAGATAATCGCGCACAGCGGCAAGCACCTGAAGATCTCCGTAGTTGTTAAGGACGAGGACGGCAAGCGTTTCGACAATTTCACGAGCCTGAACATAGAATGGCACTTGGAGCCATCAGATGGCGGCTTCGTGGAGGCGCCGTCTATGACGATAGAGGAGACTTACATCGACATGAATGTGATTTTGCCGAAAACTCATTATCAGAACATCATCTTCAAGAGATACCACGGCACTCTCACATTGTCTGCAACCGTCACCGGTTACCAAAAGCACATCCTCAACAGATTAAAGATTACGCCTGAATGGCCACCGTTCCCAATCGAGAACAATAAAGGCATATTGGAGACTCCATTAATAGAAGCTTCCTTAGAAGCGACTCTGGTAAACGACACTGTCGTCCAACCGGATAAATTGATGATCTTGAACGACCCGACGAGCATATCCTACTTGCAAGTCAGTCAAGGATCTGGTTACTATGAATTCGTGCTGAGCTCTGATGAGATCGCGGACATCCGATATTTGGACACGACTCGGACAGTCAGCGTGATCCCGAGGAAGCCAGGTGTGCTGCGTATGACATTGGTGGATTTATGTCTGCCGTCCAAATCGGCGGAAGTGCACGTGGAAGTGCAGCAGCTGGCGATAATCGAGGTGGATACCGTGAGCAAAATCGAAAGAGGTAAATGCGTGACGGCCACGCTGAGGTTGTACGACACGAACGGTCATCTGGTGAAGTTACCATCGCAGAGCGCGTTGGACTTTCTTGCGGACATCGACAACGACTACATCGAGATCAAGCGGCTGCCTGTAAACGAACAAGGCACCGCGCCATACGAGAGGATACTTTACAAGATCCACGGTGTGTCGGAGGGTGAAAGTCGACTAACTTTCGTAAAAAAAGGCGGGATACGGAGTGACCCGATCACGTTGCAGGTGTTCTTGCCGCTACGGGTGCAACCGCGGAACCTGACGATACTAATCGGCACCATCTATCAAGTGCAGACTGTCGGCGGGCCGCCGAATGCCGAGGTCGAGTTCTCGACTGAGAGCGGCAACGTGGTGCATATCGACCGCAGCGGTATCTTTGAGGGCAGGTCGGCGGGTCAAACGAAGGTGCACGTACGAGCTGTCGGCTTCGACGCCAGGGGCAACAAGGTGGTTTACTCGCAGGATCATGCGGACATACACGTACTACATCTGGAGGACGTGAAGATCTCGACTCCTGTGAGCAGAGTGAAAGCAGGTGCCACGTTCCCCATCTGGGCATTCGGCATACCCGATTATCTCACGCCGCTCATCATCGGCTCTATGCAACTACCGCTAAGTTTCATATGGTATTCAAGCGATTCCGGTTTGCTGACCCTGCACGACATGTACGAGGGTACTGGGATCAACATCAGGTATCAAAATCAGGTGTCGCTGAGAGCGAAGGCGCTCAGTCCTGGTTTGGCGACGATTTACTTGAACGTCACTATGCCCTGCAACATGCTGTCTGGCTGTAAGAACGACGTCACGTATACCACGTTCGTGAAGATCGAGATCTTCGAGGAATTGCGTCTGATCAATCCGGCGTCTTCGTGGGACGCTTCGCCGATACTGATGTCACCGAATTCCGTCTTGCGATTGCGGACGAATCGGGATAAATATGCCACAACCACTTACAGGATCCTGTCGAGTATGCACGGCAACGAGTCCGCGGATTCACGCGCCTTGACGCCCGTCACGAAAGACGTGAGCGTCGATAGGGACGGAGTCGTGAGGTCTGGTGATAATTTTGGTCAGACGATCATTTCCGTCATAAGTACGGAAACGTACCACAAACAAACTCTGACGCTTGTTGTCGAGGTACATATCCCATTCGTTTTGATTTGTTTCACTCAAGCATATTCCTGCGCCCTAAAAGCGAAAGAATTAATGCCCATCTCTTGAGTCTTTAATAGTAGAAATTTTAGAATTTGTAATTGTTGCAGGTCAAACCTATCCATTACATGATGCTGTCTTTGAAATCCAACTTGCGAATACGGAATGGCGAGGAACTGAACATGCTGCCGAAGGGAATGGAGTTGGATTACAATGTCGAATATTACGATAATGTTGGGAATAAATTTGACGCAGCTGAGACCAGCATCAAAGCCATGCTGAACCGTGTCGACTTAGCGTCGTTTATCACAGGCTCAGATAATATCATCACCGCTAAGTTTTTGGAAAATGGCGAGCTAGTTATGAAGGCTTTCAACGAAAAGAACCCGAACGGAATGTTCGATTACGTTCACATGATGATTGGCGATATCGTGTTTCCGACTAAGGTACTTTTGCGTGTTTAGTCGGCAGAAGTTATTAAGTTAAATTAACAAAGAATTATTTTTAAATAAATTCTTCTACTCTGATTTTTTAACTTAATAAATTGATTCGTTGTTAATTATCAAGTTAACTAACCAGTTATCAAGTTTACTTTCTCTAACGCAATGTAAATTGATATTAATTTAACTTGCGAGTGATAAATTATATCAATATAATAGTTACAGCTACCTTTTACGAGTATCGTAAAGTAAAATTAGTAATGTAAGTAATATTTTTGCAGACCACTCTAACTGTCGGCGATATAGTGTGCTTCTCGATGCCACTCCTTTCATCTGACGGAGACCCAGGATACTGGCAGTCTTCCGCGCCTGACATATTGCTGATAGATCCTATTACAGGAATTGGTCGCGCACGAAGCGCTGGACATGCCATTGTAAAACATAGTCTTGCTACTCAAGTGCAAAGCGAGATAGAAGTCGATATTCTGCCGATTTCGCGGGTAATTGCAAAATATTAACAAATTTGATCATCTTATTGTCCTGATAATATACTTTATATATATCTTACTATATAATATATAACATCGCACACAGGTATGCATCGTTCCTTTGAGAGGAAGAAATATCACCGGCACGGAGACATTTAGCGTGCCGCTGGTGCTGAAGAGCAAGGACGAAGAGATCAAAGAAAATAACGTCTTAGCGAGAGGCCTAGGTGGTTGTCGGACGTTATCGTCGTTTGCACTGAATGCGTTTCCCTATACTTGTAACATTCAGTTCGTATCGTCGACTTCGTCACTCAATGTAAAGGATCTATTTCTTGTGAAGCAACGATTCGATATTGTAACAGGTTAGTACATTTTCACATACATTCGCTTCTCCTCTCTTTTTTATCTTTAAGCATAACTTGCGTAATTTGCCTAAACATTAATTCGATTCGGCTGTATTAGTAATAAATCGTGAAATAAGTTCGTTGTTATAATTTTCTTTTCTTTATCACAGGCTTCTATTACTGCGACATTATACCGATAACCTCTCCATCTGTAACCACCAGCACATTGGTAAGCCGCATTCAAATTAGTGCTCAGAGTCGTGACATCGAGTCGACAGCTTTGGAGCTGACTTACTTGCCACCTATGTATGTCAACGTCAAGGAAATTACGTTTGTCACCGGTCAAAGTCAAGGTACACCTGCTGCAACGTTCGAGGTGTATGGACTGCCGGCGGTATTAGAGCATCTCACGGTAGGTTGTGTACACTTTATTTAATTATTTGCGATTCTTAAGTATTTAAATTATATGCCACCGTGCTTTTGACTAGATCGACGTACCTGAGGGTATAACCATCACCTGGCAACAGTACATTTCTCGATCTGTGATGCAGTATAGACTGCGCTTGATGCGTAGTCAAGATGAAATTCAGGGACAAAAAGTGTTTGTCGCGAATGACTTGACTAAGCAAAACATATCTGTAAGTGATCTGTACGAATCTTAGCCGTGTCGACCGACGACATAAATAATGATTATCACATGGCATTGTGTGCTTTGCTTCCAGCTTTACATACGTATGTCGAGGTACAGCAATTTCATCCCTCTATCCGGAATACAATGGGTGGATTACATGTATTTCCACAGATATACACTAGGAACATTTTCCGTTATCGCGATCACAATTTTCTATGGTAAGATCGAACTTAAAATTTGCCCCATGCTTTTTAGCCTTTTCAGAGGCCAAACTTAGTGTTTTAAATTTCTTAATTTAATTAATTTAGAAATTTAGCATATTAGTGTGTTAGTGCTTCTTTTTGAAATTAAGGAACGTTTAATAAGTTAATCAATCTAATTTCTATATCTCTTAAAAAATATTAGCGTCATTAACGCGTGGCTTCTGTATTTTTTTCAGTATGGAAAAACAGGGTAGCGAACATGAACTTGACTGTCAGAAACAGAGGCATTTTCGGTATGTATATTTATTGGTCTGACTCAGTGTCTTTACGATATGTTTAGTCATTTTTTACCTTTACTTTTTACTTTCTTTGCAGCCGACAAGTCTCCGCTAATGATGAGGAAGAGCGGTATTCCCTCTACAAGCACCTCAACTGCATTCACCACATCTAGCCCGCGAACTACGCACTCCACGCCGCCGAGTCCATTTTCAGCGTTTGAACGCAGTCAGTTCGGCGAGAGAAGCGTCTATGGTGATCCACGTGGTTTCAGCACCATACGGTAGAAGAGACATGATAGGGTAAAGTAGGATTCATAGATGTCTGGACGATCAACGAAGATTCGTTAGGATGACATTCGTTACGATATTAATGTTGAGAAATTTTCGAGAATTCATTGTAGATGTTTAAACAAACATGACTTACTATGACTGCTCGAACAATTAGTGTGTAAGTTTATACGGCAGCCTAAAATAGATTTAGTAACAACCGTATTTATTAAACTCTCGCATCTAATTGGTATATTCTTTTAGATCTAGAAATATACTCTAATCGGATTCAAGAGTTCACTAACTATGATAGTTACTAAATTGATTTTAGGCTGCTGTTGTAACAGGCCTCAGTATCTTCGTTTGACACAATCAGTCAGATATGTACATATATCGTTGTATACATTTTGTAGTGTTTAACAACGTTACAATGTTTGATTTTGTATAATTGTGTGATGCGTGCATATTGTGTGCGTGTGTGTGCGTATGTGTACAAACGAGAAATACGATTGCATCGCGACTAGACTGGATATTAATGATATTGCGATTACATACACTCTTTTATCTTAATTCATTTCAGTGGCGACGTGTACAGCTAATCACAAAGTTATATTTTTTTTTACACGAATAAGTAAAATGGCAATAGACTTACCGTTATTCACACTGTAATAACGCGATATCACGGGAAACACTTGTTTCTCGTATCTCATAAGATTGTAATACTCCATGCATCGTCATTTTCATAAATAATGTTTATTACAAAAGTAGATGTATGTTAGTGGAACAGTTGTGCTCCCTATAATAATATAAGAAAACGGAAGATGACCTAGATGTATCTTAGAATACGCGATCAGTGTTTCTTTGTGTTCTTCAGCAGTTTCTCGTATTTACTCTTGCTCGAGTACCACAGAGCGAACGGAATGGCTAGTGGAGGTAGAGTCATCACAGCAAACGCAGCCCAATCAATCTGTTTATCACACGATTATATCAGTGATGAAATATCGATTTAATGATCGCCAAATCGCTATTTATCACGATTATATCAGTGATGAAACATCGACTTAATGATCGCCAAATAATGGCTGCATTCAGCAGAGAAAGCTGCTTTGGACAATTTCTCTTTTGACCTCAGTCTTTTGATCATTTATACTTACTACGTGAGAGGAGAATTGTTTGTCATAATCCCTGTATGCTACAATAAGTCCTTCGCCAGGCTCACTGCTCACAGCTACCTGTAGTCTGGGAGCATCTTCTTTGCGACGATACAAGACCTCAGCCGAGGTAAAGTTAAAGAATCCAAACTTGCGCGGTCTCACTACAACTGTATGGCTCACGTTTGTGTAAGGTGGCACACGATCTATCCTGGCGTTCAATTCGCCGCTCACGTGAGTAAATTGGTCTGGGTGGAATGAATTGTCTGTGATCTCAACTTCAAATGCAGCCACATTGCCAATATTGTAAATAGTGTACTATAGAAGGTATAATATATTTCAGTAATATTTTCGACAAATGTATTCAATATATTATATATGGTATGACATCTGCCATGTTACCTTAATAACTATATCCATATTTTCTACTAGATATTTGTTGAGTATTTGTTTGGAGACTAATAGCCTAGCAGCCTCTTCTTCCTCTTCTGCGTGTACAGCTGTAAGTAATACAGCGACAGTTGCGAGCAAAATATGCCACTTCATTCTGTAAGATTTAAATAGTTTTGTTTTAATTGTCTTATTATTATATCTTATACTATCAGACATATTCCATATAAGTTCATCAATATCAGTTACCCCTTGTCCACAATCTTGCTTTAATTCCTAAGTCTTAAGAAATTGACCAATTACAGTTGATTATTTTAAAAATAATCAACTGTGGTTGGTTAATTTATTACAGTTTAAAGATTAAAGCAAGGTTGTGGACAAGGGATTAGTCAGTGTATCTTATAATTCTATATTGATATCTGTTAGATTTTTGCAATGAATAAACATCTGCAATTGTGAAACAATTGTTTCATTCGAGTACAATCATTGTGGCTATTATTAATTCATTTTAAATAAGAATTTGTACTTGTCTCTAAGATTACATGCTATTGTATAGTTTACTTTTTATGAAGATATTTGACTTGTTACATTTTTTACTGATACATTTTTACTTTTACGAAATAATTAATTTCTTAAAGTTTTACTGTTACAATTATTTATCAAGTTTTATTGTTACAATTATCTTATTGCAAGTAAAAACTTAACAACTCTTGACTACACTATAAAGTAGTTTTCACAGTTTTTATAATTTTGTGAGAAAATATATATTTTGTAAAGATTTTAAACGCGCGCGAATGAAAGTCTTGTCAAACTCACATTATAACGCAGAAGACGTCTCACAATCAGTAATTGTTATTTTCGCCTCTAACACAGCACAACTCGTATGCCACTTGGTTACTCCATACGGCGAGACAGTCGGCAGCCGCAAAATAACTCGCCAAGTGCCAACAGCGCCCCGTATGCTGCCACGTTTCCGATATGGATGATACACATACGTACTTCCGGTACGCGCTGTAAGCGGCAAGATGGCGGCGACAACGCGACTGTCAGCTGATTGTGACACTTGACGTGAATACTTTGCAGAATGTCGTGAACGTAATTTGCATTAAAGAACGAAGACGCGAATTCATTTTAATTCTATTTGAATTGCTTTGATTGTATTTTCAAATATCAAGTAAAAAATCAGCTTCTTCCGAAAAAGTTTCGAAGACTCCACTATCAGAGAGAACCTTTGATTATACAAGCAAAGAGAAGCCTGAGACTGGTCACCAACTTGATTTTAGTGGCCAGAGCTAGACGCATTTTCGAGACGCCATCTAACAAAGTGCGCTTTTACTACGTCGTTAGACACATTTTCGTGGTGGTAACGATAAAATGCGTTTGGGGTCCCTATTCTTGAAATTTTTGCGTATACGTAATTTTCATTGCGTAGCTAATTTATAATTAAACCTGCGCAATAAAACTTACGCAACTATTTCAAGAATAAGAGCCCTGGTTCGTGCCCGTTATACTTTCGTATAATGATCATTATACCAAGCGCATTTTATCGTTACCACCGCGAAAATGCGTCTAATGAACGTAGTAAAGACTCATCTTGTTAGATGGCGTCTCGAAAATGCATCTAGCTGTGGCTATTGAAATCAGGCTGGTAGTCGCTCTTATACTTCTCTCTGCCGCTATGAGTTGTCACCGACAATTTAAACTTGTAGTACAACTCAACGTCAAGTCGGGCGATCCTTTATTTTTCAAATAGTACGATTCAGTGGCATGATGGAGGTCCATTTTATCGTCAAATAATACGGTTAAAAAGCAGGTTTGTAAAATTTTATCTTTAACCAATATAATTCAACGGTAGATCAAGACATTTTTGTTTTTCAGTAGCATCCTTTTTTTTAATGGCCGGTCGAATTAGACTTCTGTCTTTCTCTCGTACGGGGAATTAAAGTCTATGTGATCTGTCTATGTGTTGTGACATCGATGCAGTGTGAATTCGTCATTATCACTTGTGTTTACCTGTGTTGCACATCTGACGTCTAATTAAGAATAAAATGTAACACATCATTCCTCAAGTACCATAAATGTCATTCAAGGAACGTAAGTGTGCGAGGGATGCGTATGGGCGATAATCCCGCGAAATTCTGTAATTATTAACGTGTTGAGTAGGTAAGTCATAGCACACAATAACTGTATAAACACAGTAGTAAGTCATACGATGTTCGACGAGACAGTGGCGATTGATGTCACTGTTAAAAGCAGCGTAGATCGCGAATGTTGTCGCAAAAAGTTTCTTCTCGTCAATCACATTCAGCATTATTACCTTTCTTTACTTTTATGCATTGTGCGCGTCAATTTATTATAATTATATAACCTCAAACCAATGATGTTATTGTAGGTCATGTTGATTGCATATAAATGTTTACAAGCTAACGTACTTTTCTAAAAATTTCATTTTATTTAATATTATTTCTAAATTTGGATAAAATATTTCTAAACAAAGTAAACATATATTTGGTAACTTAAAAATTTTGTCTTCTTGTACAATTAACCATTATTTTAGATATTTCTGAAAAATGGCAGATGTTAGATTGCTCATTCAGGAAGAAGGTCGCGCGGCCAGGAACTTGATAGCTTTTAATGTACCAGTTGGTACAAATAATACAGAGAAAATAACAAAGAAACCACCCAGTGTACCAAGGCAAGCTCAGTCAGGTTCAACAAAGCGATCTATGAAACCAGCAACAAGAGTAAGATCTGCTTCTACAGGTCGTGATAAAAAATCTGGTAAGATAAGAAATTTTTAACTTTATCTATATACTTTACACATAAAAATATATAATAGCAAGTCTTGTTAAAATTGATAAAAGTTTTCTTTTACACAGTTTCTAGAATCTTAATTTTGTAATTATTCTCAAAAAGATTAATATTTGTATAGTTTCTTTCTTATTTAAAGTTGATTAAATCATATGTAACAAAAGTTGAGGGTATTTCTTTTAAAAAATATCTGCAGTTATCAAACAAATTTCTGATCATTTTATAAAATATGAAAATCTAAATTTTATATATCTTTTATAATTATAATTTATTAAAAGATATTTGTTTAGAATTACAGGCACGATACTGGGCATTCCTGTTTGGGAATTTACAAAGAGCAGTTGATGGAATTTATCAAACGTGTGAAGAGGATGAAAATATTTCTGAGTGTAAAGAAGTTATTTTAGTTCTAGAGAATTATACCCGAGATTTTCATAATTTAATAGAATGGTTTAAAGTTAAATGGGCTTATGAAAATTCATCACCACCATTAAGACGAACTCCTTTAGCTTGGGAAGTTAGAAAGACTTCTCCTTGTCGAGTATGGAATTCTACAATAATTCCAAAATCTACTAGTCCCTTACAAAGAGCAAGTCCAACTGAGTCCATTTGTAAGAGTCCAGTCGAACAAATCGTGTGTGAATGTAAAACGACTGTAACGGATAACAAAGTTAATAACGTGAAGGAGGAATTACTCCATAAATTATTAAAAGATAGCAAAAACAACGTTTGTAAAAATTGTTCTTCTGATATTAAAGAAAGGCGTAAGAATGGTATAGATAAGGTAGGAAATCAAACAACGAATAAAGAGAGATCTGCATCGGCGAAAGCAATTAACAAAGTTCTCGTAAAACAATCAGTGCAATCAAAAGCGAATCTCGAAGATCGCAAGACACTAAATGAAGGTGTAACGTACGATTTGAAGAATAAGATAGATTCTAGAAACATTCCTAAACACGCAAAAGACTGCGTGCATGGCAATATTATGAAGCCAGCTGATTCTAACTTATCAGCAGAGAAACAGGAACAAGCGTATAAAAATGATAAAAATGTCCAATTAAGTTCGTGCAGTAATTGTGAACCTGCGCAAAAAGACGTTAATGCTGTGAATGCTAAAGATACTAAGATGGATGGAAAGAGTGTGGATAGTAAATCATCGTGTAATAAAAATAACATAGTATTGGGAAAAAATGAAATTAACGTCAGAGTAAAGAAAGATAGTATTAGGAAGAGTGAAACTAATGTTGAAAAGTTAAGCACGAGAACAATTGTTGTCCAAAATACTTCAGAAAAAATTAATCAGGTCAACTGTCAAATGAGCAAACACCCGCATGGAATTAATGATAAATCAGATAATAAAGATATACGAAATTCTACAATAAATTCATCTTCCAGTAACACAGATAAAGGCTCCATGACGTTCGACACAAACAGACCTGCCTATTCGACTGTGTCGCAAACAAGATCTAAAGCACATTCATCAACTTCGTCCGAGACTCCAAAGTTCATTAGAAGTAAGACTTGTTTAAGTGGCAAAAATTTACCTACTCCAAGTAAAACGAGACCTGGAACATCCGTTATAGTAAGAGGACGATTTCAAACTCTTGAAAATAAGGTATGTTATTTTTTTTATCATAGCATATACTTGATTAAGAGCATCATTCAATTTGATATTTTCTCCAGCTATCTGAACAAAATACTTTGAAGAAAGATCAAAATAAAGACATGAATGGATCGGTAGAGGTTTTAACGAAGCAAACGCTACCTTCAAAGTTAAAAGATGAGAGCGATGGTTGGCAAACAGTTAGAAATCGCTGTAGAAGAGGAAGCACTCACAACTTGAACATGTCGACGCGTTTTCATAAACCGAGCACCGCTTTATCTCTGCCAGCTTTATCCATAGAGAGTCCATTGGAGAAAATGAAGAAAAATTCTTACACTCCCGATGGGAATAACAAACAAAAGAAAAAAAATATCGTAGGCAAAGCCGGGAAGAACATGAACAACGAAGTTGAGAAAGTTAAAGGAGAATCCATGTCATCTACTATTAAAAATAGTCTCGAAGATACATTAAAAAAAAACACATTGAATCTGTGTGATACCAATTCAACGTCAATGATCGCAGCTATCTTTAAGAACGACGCGGAGTTACTTGAGAAACGCATACAACAATTTATGGCTGCTCAAGCGGAAAGAGAAAGAATTATCTTAGAGGAAGAGAGAAAGACTGAGGAAGCAGATTCTCAAAGATCTCAGCAGTTATCGGATGAAGAGGCGTCTTTGAAACGACAAATCTTAGAGTTGGAATCCAGCGAGATCGACGTCGACACGGAAACAGACGAGACGGACGGCGAAATGGTCCTTGAAATGGAAGACGAGCCTGTGGTACCGCTCAGTGTTGTTACTGACGATATTAGCTTAGAAGATAGGTACGTAAAAGTTATTGTATATATTGTTTGTTAGAAACTTTATATGATTATCATATATGTCACTAATGAAACTGACGTTGTAGATACGAAAATATGTTAGAGGGAATGTCCTGGGCGGAACGAGTCGACACTCTCGCGCAATTACGCGCATTGGTAGCTCGCCATCCAGGTCGTGCGTTAGAATTGCATCAAAAACTCTCATCTCCTTCGCGAAAAAGATCGCTTCCTGAAACATTGAGGAGATATCAAGCGAAGCAAGCTTGCGCACAACACAAACGTCAAAAACTGCTAATGGAGAAATCGCAACGCTTACGGGAATTATTGAACAAAGTAGAGGACGTTAAGAGTGCAAAAAGTCAGTTAATAGAAGACAAGAGAGTTAGGATGGAAATGAGACTAAAAAGAGCGGAGGAAAATAGAACTCAACATTTGCTGGAAATAGTGAGAAAAGCGCACGATGAGGATTCGAAATTAAAGGAAATAGCTTTCATCAACGAGTTGGAAGCGCAAAATAAGAGACATGATTTTATGGCATTATGCCAAGAACAAGAAGAAAGATTACAAGTATGTGATTGTGATTCTAAATAAGACAAAAATACACGTAATATTTTCAAATTGTTAATATATATATATATGTAGGATCTCTTTTAAATGTAAGGAATTATGTGTAATAACTGATATTTGTATAGGGTATCCAAGAAGAACGTCAACGTCGACAAGAGGAGAAAGCTGCCAAAGAAGCTGCGGCTGAAGAACGCCGAAGAGCTTTAGAAGCAGAACGACAGTTGCGGATACAAAAAATGAAGCAAGCACGTCGCGAACGTGAGGAAAGAGTCGGTAAAATGCAGCTCGAGAGAGAAAAGGAACGACAGGTAAGTGAACCATCGTCGCTAAGTAGCACACGACTAAAATTTATAATTTTTAGAAAACCACTAACTTTTGTATCTTGCAGGAACTAGCGAGAGAAAAGGCTCGAGATCGTGAAGAACGCCTGTCCGCGCTACATGCTGCCCAATTGGCTAATCAAGAAGAACTGCAGAAGAAAATAGCACAGAAACAACAAGAATCCGCTAGGAGGCATGTAGAGAATATTGAGCACATTCGACAGCGTGCGGTTGAATCTTCAATATTAAGATCGGAAGAAGTACCACCTACCCTTAAATCTTACCCTGCTCAAAAACAGTGTTCTCTGTGTGGCACGATTGTGAGCTTTGTTCTAGTTATATAATGCCACTAATTAAACGAGATATTACATCCGTATATTTTACAGATATCTAACGAGGTGTATCTTCTGAGTCACTTGAAAGGAAAGACCCATTTTGAAGCGGTACGAAACGCGCACGATAACCGTGAGCCATCCCGTGACGAACTTCAACGCTTTAACATCGCACAGATACGAGATGTGCCGGTTACTGTGCAAAACAGTAGTAATGCGAGTAATAGCAAAGCTGCGAAAGAAAAACAGAAAGCGTTGAAACGCCGATGCAGAAAAATCAAGCAACGCATGAGCTCGCGCGGCCAAGAATGGGAAGACAAACGAAAAGCTGAAGTTAATCAGAATTTATCGGCCGAGTCAGCTAACAAGGCCAAGTTCCGACGGAATTTAAAGGAGTTGGATAAGTTATATAATAATCATTCGAAATCTGCGTGGTCGACTATAACGCTTGCCGCCTTGGAGCGTTGTTTAGGTGAAATCACTCGGGCCTTTGCCAAGTCGGTAAGTCTGTGAAGAGGAAAATGTTTTCTTCATGGATTATTTTACATTGTTATATTCCATTCTTTCTCTTCCAGTGCCCATTTGATCAGGACGCTTTCAGATGTTTAAATGGTTTCGACACTCTGACAAATTTACTGAATCTAGGTCTAAATGCGCAAAATGCATCGTATAATTTACCAAATAAGTGAGTACAAATTATCATCTAATATAAGACTTCTTTCTGTTTAATTGTGATCTATTACTGAAAACTGTTTTCAACATACTTCATATTTGATTTTTTAGAGCAATTGTATCGCTGTGTCGAGTTTACAAAGCTGGCATTACTGGGAACACAGAGAGCATAGAAGATATTCTGTTGAGCAATAACATTCTCGTCATTTTGGACTTGCTTTTACAACGTTTAGAGGTGAGCTTATTTTTATGTCATTCATTTTATTTATTCTATCAATATCACTCATATACTGATAGTTTTCATAGATTTCTATAAATTGTAATACATCAAGTAATTTAAAAAAAAATTACCTGAGATATGAGTAATAATTCTCATAATCTATTAATGGACGATTTAATTACTCGATAAAAGTACATTTTCTTTCTTGATTTTATCTATATGGTGGGAGAACCGTGGCAAAATAAATCAGAATTTTTGCAATATTTGTATTGCAAAACGTATCTCTAAAAAAGCGTTTGCGATTTAATATATGAAATTTGAAACAATACCTATCTAGTATGTGCTGCCACCTGCGAAGAAGAGGACTAACTATCTTCTAAAAGTTAACATCAGGAAATATGATTACAATTCGAAAACTTTTGAGAAAAAGGCTTGAACCACCCAAAACATACCTAGATTTCTTTTAATTTAGTTAATATCTACAATTTTTTATTGCTCTGGTTTTTTATTTATCGGGATATCAATGTTGAAATATTAATAGACCTATTGTAACTAAGTTACAAGTAGTTCAAAGTCTGGACAATTTTTATAAATTAAAATCTATAGGGCTAACTAAAATAGATAATAAAAAATATTAATTTTATTTACTTTTTTCTAAGCGAGATTTAAAATTAATTCAATAATGAATTGAGACTCTTGATATTTGAAATTGTAGTTAGTGACGAATTGTTGATGACGATCAGTTGTATATGTATTACTCATGTCGATATTATTTAAACAAAGAATAATTATATTACTGTTCGTACGATTAAAGTAATCTATAAAGAAAGAGTGCATGTAAACTGCAACTTATTTTTAAGTATTAACAAATCTCTTAAAAAAATTCTCATTTGTCGAAAAAATCAATGTTTTATTTTCGGTTAAAGAAAAAAACAGGAGTTTCCAATCACAATTAAAATATATTTTAATTTTAAATATAAATTCTGTCGTAAATTCAGAATAAATAAACTTCTGTAGGACGCATTGGTGTTACATGTTTCGTCTCCATGGAACGCTTTCATTGTCAAGTATTATCGAGCAAGAGTATTCGTTTCCTGATGAAGTTTTAGGATATGAGCCAAGATACACCGCGATATTTGGTGGACGTGCGTAAGCATCGCCCTCGAAAGCGAGCTAATGCGATAGATAGGCATGTAGATTACAACTCGTTCTGTTTCTTTTTTCGATCTCGTTTCGACGTTGATAAAGGGACGACGCGGTAAAGACGACGTGGCCCTGTCACCCTGTCTATCCTGTCCAACTTGTCAAAATAAGGATTAAGGATCTTTGGGATCCACGATTTTCGTATTGCCTTCGGGCCGCGATAGACGTGTGTCGCTTCCTCGGTGTAAAACACGCGCGCGATAAATATAAATACTAAAAATTTCATCCGGTAATTGCGGTGAATTTACATGTCCTTTCTACAAAGGTGCTTCTATCTTGAGAGAAGTAGCTACTTTTGTTTCTATCTCCTGCTCTAAGAGCACCAGTGCTTTATCTTTATTCATACCGCTCTCAAAGTTATAGTTCTTACATTTTTTGTGGGAAGTACGTTGAACACGAACATGTTGTCTTTTATTTTTGTAACACACACATATATATATGTGCGTGTTCGAAATATTATGGATAATTTTGGCTTCAGTATTGTACTAATTGAGGGATAACGGAATGCAAAAAAATATTTACTAAACCAGACATTTAAAAGGAATATTTTTTTTATTGGATTTGCGGTTTAATTAGTTAAAAATATTTGATAACGGTTTGATGCGCGATTGAATGTTGAAATAATTCGGCTTCGTTCAATTTACACGTTTGTGACCGTCATTCTACATATTATACACGGCGAATATATCGAGCAACTTACGTGTGCTCGAAAAAAATTAATTAACCAGAAATCTTGTTTGGTTAATCAGAATCTTGCTAACTTGACAACAGAATTCTAGTAACTTTAATCGGATTTTTGGTTCGTTCATGTTTCACTAGACTTGGTTAATTCAACTAATTTTTTTTCATGTAGTTGTAAAAAATAATGGAAATAATCCACCTGACAGATTCCTCTTTTTTTTCTCTTGACATCTTGAATTATAAAAATCTTGGAAAATTTCATGTGAATAATTTTATATACGTGACACTAAAAATGTACAAGTTAAACAATTACGTGTAATACACTTTTGCGCAGCGACAACAGTAGAGCATAATGAAGTGTGTTTGCAAAGTTATCAACATATTAAATACAGTAATTTTAGTGCGTTCCTGTGCTTTCGTGGAATATATGTAGGAATTTTAGCGAGGCGATCTCGGGCTTCGTCCGCTGTTTGCGCAACCACCAGCGCACCTCGCCGAAATGATCAGTGCGAAAACTCGCACTTTCAGCACACCATATGCCCGCATCTAACATGTGCCTCTCTTCTCGGTATCGATCATCATCGTATCGTTTTGCCACCGCCGACGGACAGATTCGCCTGCGTGATTTCGCCATCGATTTTTCACGCTCCATAGATACGGCACTGGCGCCTCCTCCTCCTCCTTCCCGTCCCCTCCGCCAAGGATCCCCCTCCGCAAATGCATTAGCGGCGAGAGAGCTTTTAGTGACGTCACCCACACACAGAGATACACGTGCACGCACGCACGCACTCACATACATACGCACGCACTCCGCACGCACGCACGCACGCACGCACTCACGCACGCACGCGTGTACACACGCACACACGCACCACACGTGCATACTCGCGGACGGAGCCGGGTTATACGAGTGAAAGGAAAGTCCGCCCGCAAGAGAATGTGCGTGGGGTACTTCTGTTTCCACTTCCATCAAGTCCCGTTTCGAGGACCCGGTCTAATCTTTTGTCTCGTCGTCGTCGTCGTCATCCTCCTCCCCCCCTTCCCCTCCCCCTTCCTCCCCTCCCCATCCTCCTCCTCTTCCTCCTCCTCTTCCTCCTTCTCGTCCTCCCCTTGTGCTTCTTCCTTCTTTTCTATCATCACTTTTCCAAAGACCACTTCGCGCGTCCTAGAATTCAAAATACGCAATTTTGCCGTCATCGCGCCGACTTTTCCGACGTGGTTCACGACTGACGGGATATTGCGTGCGGTGACAACAACGAGGAGGACACTTTGACCGCGTGCCTGAAAGCACGCGAGAGTAGTTTTTTCAGCGTTACATATGTTTCACCAAAGTTTCACTTTGGAGTCTTGTTGAAAGTTCGACAAAAACAAACACATTCAAGCTGCTTCACACAGTCCTGTTTCGCAAAATAAAAGAAGAACGGAGCTCCTTGGTTGAGATCCGTTTTCTCTGCAGATTTTTATTGACCACGCAATAATTATATGTACCCGCATAGTACAACATTGTCGAGATGTGTTTGTCTTGTCCCGCCTTATGGTACAAATTTCAGTCCAGTTGATACCGAAACGGGACTAATTCGCCTGTTTTTTATACGGATATTTTGCTATCTCTCTGTTCGTGTAATCGCGCGGCTTCATTTATCGTTAGATCGTCCGGCATTATCGGCCAGACTCGTTTCTGTATACGCGAAACGGGATTCTCGAGAAAATGGAGACAAGGGAGTCACCTCGTTACCAAATGGACCAGAAAAAGATCGTGCCGTAAAGTCATGGAGATAAAAACTCTCGCGAATTAAAAATTCAGCGATAAACAGGATTAGACGGAGGGTCCTCGTTTTATCTTTATAACTGTTGGTATATTGCCGTGTTCTCCGGTGTACACGTGTTCAGTATGGCCGATGTGCAATCAATGGGACCGCTGTGTCGAACTCGAGACGAAAGCAGTTATAAATTCACGAGCGCGCAGCGCAGAAGTTTGAAAAAAAACTTTTTTACACACACCCGCGAGCCTGACAATCTGATATTTTATTTCATCGTGCATTTTTTCATATTTATCTTGCTGAATTAAAAGGAAAAGAAAATATCGATCTACTGTGCTTCTCATGAATAGAATTTTCGTTTTAATTTAGCTAAAATTTAAAAAGGATCGAAATCGATTGTTTTATTAAATTGTTATCATTATTAATGTATTTTATTTGCATGACTAGATACACGCTTGACATTTTTACATTGAGTACCGGCGAGAATTTTGTTCAATAAAATCGTTGATATCGTTATTCTTTCGGTAAATAAAATAACGACCACGTAACTAATACGGTATAAATTGAAACAACGCGGGCATCAATCGTGACAAACGTCTATTTACAAATAATTGTTTGTGTACGATTAAAAGGAGAGTTGACAAAATCGTATCGCTCTCTTAAATCGTACCTCATCAGTTTCTTTATTGTTATTGAATATAAACGGCATCTAGCAATAAAAAATGAGAAGTAAATGAGTAATAAAAAATGTAAACAAAAATGTTTAGATTGCGTATTATTTTGTGCATGCTGCAAACGTTAAAGAAAAAATTAAGTATGATTGATGAAGTGCGACTTAGGAGACCGATACGCGATTTCGGCAACTTTCCCCTAAGTACGTTAATATCTTGCTAATGTCATGGAAGAAGGAATTTAACACATCGTGCAGTCAATCGATAAGCTTCTCGTTAAATTCACCAAATGATATTACGCCGCTCGCGTAAGTGACTTTTAATGAATGTAAAACTGCAAACACAATTTTAATCCTGCGCCCCGGTATTACGCTCGACAGGAAAGACTACATAGTCCTGGACCATTGCGCAAAGAAACGAATCACTCAGTGGGGTCCGCCGATTCCCCGCGAATGTTTCCCAATCTTGCCCGTCGACCGAGCGAATTTACAATTCCACGTAAATTGCTAGAAATTATTCGGTTCCTATAACCGCCTCCCTCTCGTCCGAGAATTCGCGTGCACACGTACACGTATGATTGCATTTCGGCTGATGGACGCGGAGCGATTTCGATGACTACAAACTGAATTCATCGACCGTGGAAAAGGGAAAAAAAGGTCGAAAGAGTTTGGGTCGAGCGAATTGAAGTCCGGATAAATAAAGCAGATCGACGTATAAAGCAGATGTGACGATTTAATATATGCCACTCTCTATGTTTTATTCTCGCCGGTGATAAAATAATTAAAAAAAGAAAAACAATATCAAACCTGTGCTAATCGTATGTGTCAAGAAAGAGAAAAAAAACGTGTCGTGCAGCACGGAGAAAAATATCATTCTATTGTCAACAAAGACGATTACTTTCAGTTTATTTTCTTTCTCTTAAGTAATGGTTATCTTCAACAAAAAATATTTTAAAAAAGCTCATTATCGTGCTTAAAAGAAGAATTTATTCTTTTTACAAGAATATCATAAAACATTATCAAAGAGGAGGCTTACTCTATGCAGTAAATAAACCGGATTTTTGTTTTAATCCAATACTCTTGATTGAAACGCTTAACTTACTGGGATTCAGAAGCTACTTGAATAAATCTGATGATTATGATGAGAGCTTAAGATAGATTTACGGATGTATAAATTTATGAGATATTTGAAAAAAGTAACATTTACTCGAATATAGTGTGCATTTTTCTGTGTGAGACCTTTTGCGTATTTCTCGATGCGTTTTATAAAAATTCTCCAATTTAATTTCACGAAAACACATCCAACTAAATTCTCTACTTTTCCGTACACGTCGTGCGTAATAATTGTCGAGAGATAATAATAACTAAACAACTGCAATAACAACAACAACAACAATTGGATGCGTCCGACTTGAAACGCGCGAATGACGGTATGCAGTGCTCGTCGCAAATGTCGCTATACGAATAAATATTTGAATTGAACGTAGAAACAAATCGACGTGCGAATTTATGACAAAATACAGCAAGACAGTCGTGAAATCGCGCGGTATGTTCGCGAGCGGCGCTCGTGTATTATCTCATAGAATTTTCTAAGAGAGCCCGTTCTTCTGGCGTTAATCTGCTCGCTCCGGTCCAGCGCGCGGTTCGAAAAGAACTGGATTAACATAAAAGCATCTCCCGTTTATGGTCGCACATACTCGATATACGCGTTCCTCGAAATTTCACGTCTTGTTGGCGTCTTGTTTTCGTTCGCCCGTATCAGAGAGGCGTCGCGCGATCCTCTCGTTTTCTTTTTCTCCCTATCTCTGTTTCTCTCTCAATCTCTCCCTCTATTCCTCTTTCTCTCTCTCTTTAGACACGGATGGGATTGAATTTGTCAAGGCAGTGGTCAAACCACTTTTTAATGTTTCGTCGGAGATTATTTCGCTACCTCTCTTATGAGCGCGCGGCCGGTTGGTAACATTATCTTTTCCATCCGAGGGCTCGCCCGGCGCAACAATAGTTCTTAAAGGATTACCTCGGATGTCCGACGGGTGTCGCGAACTCGTAAAAATTAACAACAAGCCGCGGCAGCCGCTGTATTATCGTTCAATAAAGCAGGGGACGTTTAAACAGAAAAGAAAGATCCCAGCGTATTAAAAAAAAAAAATGATAGATTTAGTGTGTAAAATAAATGCGATAGATGTAATTATAGATGACGTAGAGGTCTACGGGGGCTGTGTGTGTTATTGCTACGTGTTAACAGATAGATGTCTCTACCATACCAACGAGTAGCTGAAAAAGCTGTACATAGGAGATTCCTGAAAACAAGTTTCTGAATCCCTTACGTACACGGAGAAAATATTATATATAGGGAAAAAATTTTTCAATTCGGGCAACTGAACTGAACGGGGATCAGAGGAAAAACTTACGAGAAGTAATATCTCTGTTATTGTGACCGAAAACATTCGTTTCTGAACATTCAGTTGCATTCGGTTGAGACAACTGAGAAAATTTGGCTGAGTAGGAATCTCCTATAGAGATATATCTATTCATACAACAGTTTTTCATCTAGTCCCCAAGTAACAGAAGATTCAGTTACACTGATGAAGTTGTCTTTTCCGCGTGTAGTCTCTTTTCATACAAATTCTTCTCAATTTCACTATGTTTCTAGTAGTCCAGGAAGATAGACTGTCGGTAAGATGTATCTTGGAAATTTATTTGTTAGGTATATAGTTTACTTGTAGAAATAAACTTTATATTCCACAAATAAATCTTCAAATTCTTTCTACGGTATATTTAAACAACGAAGTTGTAAAAGACAAAATCTAAATCTAATGAGGTCACACAATTATCCTGGCATTAGATCCATTAAGATAAAAAAATACCAATGCTTGGATATGTAGTTAACTCTGAACATTCTCATTGTTCTGGTCTTTAAATACAAGTATTTAAACTTTCAATACAGAGAATATATATACACACATTAAATATATATACATACATTCTACATATTGAAAACTTGAATATTCGTATTTAAAGACCCCCCAAAACAATAAGAGTATTCCAGATGAGGTACGTGTGTTCAGTCACTAGTATACTTTTACCTTGTAAAACTTGGGTACAATTTTCGATGCAGTCGCGGGACGCGATATATTCGAGCGAGCAAGGATCAGAGTCAGACGGTCAGAAGTTAAATAAAAGTGGACAAACGTGTAGCACGACTTTTCGATAGGATTCCCCGAAGCGCTTATCGAAAGCGAGGCTAAACCGTTTAGGACCCATATTCCTGTCTCTGGGATTCTTATCAGAACCCTTAGACTCGTTACCACTAATTTAGCGTTATAAATGCGCGTACGTGTGCGTGTCGTCCGGGACACGTACGGTTTACTGTGTGAGCGACTCGGTAACAATGATTCAACGTATTAGGAATTCGTTTGTGTCTAAACATCTGGTTGATCGACTGGTCTTACAGACTTTAAGCAGCTAATCCAGGTACAGTCGGCAGCGAAACGGTTTGAACATTTTTTACTAGTGAAGTTAGTACCCATTCAATTGTCACTTGGGAAATCATTGCTCACGCGATAATCAGTTGTTGCAAGAGTTAAAATGATAATACATAGTAAAAGTAAATTTCATCAAACAAATTTCATCAAATAAATTTTACGCGCGTAAAAACATATTAATACATTCGGAAGTATTCCAGCTTAAATCGTTGCAATAAAGATACTCAAAGAATTGAAAAATCTTATGCTTCAAATAAGATACATCCGATGGAATAATTTGAACTGCAAATCCGGGCAAAATGTCAGTATAAAAGTAATACGAGAAAGAGAGCTCTCATTACTTACATTTTTCCTGGATTTTCAGTTTAGATTGTGCCATATTTCTTATATATTTGAAGCACAAGATTCTTCAATTCTTCGAGTATCACTATCGCAACGATTTAACCCGAAATACTTCCGAATAATGTGTCTGCATGTTGATTTGATACAATTTACTTTTACATCACGTATTGTCAGTCCGGCTTCTGTCGTAATCGATTACCGCGCGAGTCCGTGAACAGTGATTCTCAAATGTACGAACTAGATGGATGGGTTACTAACTTCACTATAGGAAAAAAGTGTTAAAACTGTTTCGCTCTCGACTGTACACGCGTAATTCCGCCGCCGTTGTCTCTCAAAAAAGACAGAAAATATACTGAGGTATTCTCCACATTTTTTGGGGTAAAATTCCACTCTCGGAAGGTATGCAAGCGACAGCTGAGTCACCCGGAGTCGAGCGATCTCTCCCTCATACAGAGTGTATTTTTCAATCTGAACCGCCGAGTGAACATTTTCACTCGAAATTGAAGAGAGAATCTGATGTGCTCCGCCGTCACACAGTAACAGATTCACTCTAGCCGATTGAAACATTCACTCGTACAGATTAAAAATCCGCTCTAAGCTTGAGCGAAACGAATTCGCTATTGCGATTCCGAGTGGCAGTATCTTCGTTTCAAGAGAAGCGAAGTTTTTCCTCGTTTTGCGTGAAACTATTCGCTGAGAAATTTCGAGAGGGTATCTCTCGAGTTCTTCCAGGCACAAATTCCTCCAGCGAAAATACCAGAGTTAAATTCGTTGTAATACGAATCCTAATACGATTTCCGATTTCCCGATTAAAATGATTTCCCAAGCGACAACTAGATGGGTATTAACTTCACTAGTAAAAAATGTTCAAACCGTTTCGCTGCCGACTGTACCTGGGTTAGCTACTTAAAGTTTGTAAGACCAGTCGATCAGCCAAATGCTTAGACACAAACGAATTCCTAATACGAATTCCTAATAATAATAATACATGTACTCAGAGAAGAAGACATGATGATAACTATTTGAGTGACAACTACACGGGTTTTGTATGTAAAGCTAATGTATAAACTATCTTATAGTTATTACAGTCGTATAAACTATCTTATAGTTATTACAACTTCGGCTTTGATTGCAATAACTACAAGATTGTTTATTTCAATTCATCTACATTACAATTCTACCTGGAAAAATCTTGGCTCTAACCACATTTTTGTAATGAAATAATAACAAAAATATACATATAAGATTACTATCACTAACGTTGTAGTAAAATTTAATGCAAAAAACGTTTTTCTTGACCACAATTTATAGTAATAATTTCTCTGTGTGATTATACAAATACTAAACATTTCAGTGCCTCATGTAAAGATAACTAGAGGAATGCAATTATGTTACAACTAAATATTTTTAGTTACGTGCACCATATTTTTTTTTTCGTGTATGTTTTTCTCTGTCCTCGACAGTCGCTGACAATGAGGGACTCTCGCCGCGAATTGAAGTCGCAAAATTCCGCCCGTCACGTTTTCCACACTATCGAACGTTCTCGCAAATTGCTGTCGCGCCTAAAAATAAGAGATCGAATCGGGAAGCAAATGGAGTTTTACATGCGGTTGGGCGTCCGCACTTCAGGGGGACGGCACTATTACCGTGGAGAATGTCGATGTCGCAGCGGTGTGAATGATTACGGTTTTTACTTTCGCAGACTTTGACTAGTCTCGACGACCACGCTCAGACTCAGGACGTGTCTACCAATTCAACCGGAAATGGAATGGTGGCGGCCAGCGCGACGCAATTGCTGTGCAGCATGATCCCCGAAGAGCCCTTTGAGAAAACCGTCCTGCAGACGCGCGTTCAAGATATTGCTGGGTGAGTCTCGCAAAACGAACGCTCGATTTATGAGCGCAATTTTATGTTACGCGATCTTGAAACCTCGATATCGACGTCGGCTGGGAGAACTACTTCCGAACGATGAGAATATTTTTATTAGCGTATATCTCTGACGCGCGAATAATTTGCTTTTCAGTGTCTGTTTTTTCTGGCTTAAATTTTCAAAATTGACACGAGAATCGCGAGATACTCCAGGAACAGTCGCTGATTTGAAGAAACGCGAATTAAAATCGATTAAACGCGAAGATTGATGTTATTAACAGAATCACGATAACATGCAGCGCACAGAATCGAATTTGCAACGTTAAACGCGTCATGCTTTAATAAGAAAAATATATATAGTGATTTTAATTAAAAATTATTTTATAACAGAGAGCTCTCGCGTTAAAGCGTAATCTATTTCAAATTGATAATATTATATTTCAATGAGATATTATTTACATATTAGTAACACCGCGTGATGCACCTCCTCTCTCTCCACACACACACACACACACACGTTAACGTGAACAACAAATGCTAAATATTTAATTGTGTAACTGTGCGCAATGTGATGCGCTGCTACCGTCGTTAAGTATTTGAGAAATTCGTGGCATAAAATCTGCAGAGACAAATGACATTTCTAGCGCTGTCACCATATGCGTACGGACTTTCAACTACATTTTCTCATGTGAATGTAAAAAGAATAACGTCAATGCTTGCACCGCGTCGAAATGAGCAACGTGTGTATTCTCGGCTGTTAGTTACAAATGCGCCATTAAAATTAATCTCCGCTGGCGACGCGAAGTATTATTTCACTTATTAGGGCAATCGGAGTATAATTAGCAGGCATTCCACTTCTTTCTGGATGATACGAACATTCTACGTAATTGCGGGCAATCATCTACAATGAAATCGTAACTTCTGTAACGTGCGTTCACGTGTCTTTTTCTCCCGGCTTCTTTTTTAGAATTGTCCGACGAGAGAACTAGCCGCCGCGGTGATCTTTTCGGTAAAAACAAAAAAGGGGATTATTACAATGACGTGAAAACGGTGGGGAACAAGTCAGGATTAACGGAGAACGAGACGAGCGGTAAATCTCGTGTCGCTCGAAACTTCGAGTATGACGTGCGCGACGAAAATGTATTTCTCTTCAAAGTTACGTTTTTGTTGTTGTGATTTATATTATGATATGTTACCACACTGCACGGAGAAAATATTGAACATTAAGTTTATACAATACTTTAATTTACAAAAATTTTGTTTCAGTTTTCACTACAATATTTTCTCTATATACAATATGACGCATCAGAAATATGCGTTTTATTGCAAAAATACAGTTATTAAATATAAAGCACGAGTACCATTATATTACAATATAAAACAAGAGGTCTCTCTCTTTCACACACACAAACATATATACACACAGTGTGTGGCTTCTCATATATAAATTAATATCGAATGTTGGCATATTATCGACTGAAGTTATACGGAATTCGGCGGGATGCATAAAATACAAGTTTCCAAAGCGTTCACAGAGTCACCCTTCGAAAATGCACCCGCCTTTGGCGACGCGATGTTTCCTCTCTTCGACCGGTAATAGATCTCCGTCACTCTCACGGCAGCTATTAGTACAACCGGCGGAGTTTTCACTCGCAATTTTACATGCGCTCGCCGGTGCTAAGGCGACTCTCGTCCGAAATCCGCATCTTTTGATCTGGTTGAGTCATTTGTTGCGCAAACACCATCCTAGACGGCGCCTTTGAATGGCTCGAAAGAATACTCAGTGCTTTGAGGCGCACGCGGACCACCCTGTCTGAAAATATAACCGCGTTGTCGCGGCCAATACCAAACTTAATACGCGAGTCACGCCGAGTGACAAGACGCGAACTGTTTTCGTTGCATCGCACGAGACCCGATCTTCGTCAGGCTGACGGCATGCACCTGGGTCAACTTCCTCCGCGAGGACCCCCCAAAACGCCGGTTCACCCCTTTGCGCGCATCGAACTTATTTTCACCTTCCCTCACGCCTGTCTCTTTTCTCGTCAACCGTGTCTTCGCGGAAAATCTCGCCTACAGTCAGTCAAGAGTTCTCCTCACGCCGATAGCGATGAAAATGTTCAATCAAAATGTATCAAAGTATTATAAGAGACGTGAATGATTTTGCTTTACTATCTGGAATGTGATATATTTCCAAATTTAAAATACATGGATCTTAATTTGAATTAAGTGTTCTAATAAATTTTAACTACACGCGACGTTCGATGAGAGCGTGCTGTGTTTAACATTGCAGCTCGGATCATCGTCGAGTTATCAATCATTGAGTCATCATTTCAATTTTTCGTCGAAAGAGACAAAACGTCCCGCGTAACAATGAACGTCCGGGAACATGAAATTACACGGCATCATATTGCATGAGCGATTGTAACGTGCTGCGTGTTCTCCCGCACGTGTGATAATGTCGTTGAAATAGAAAATAAGAAGAAAGTAGAAACGTATAAAAAGAGAGAGACTCGAAATTTTGACATTCCCGCAGCATACTTTACAGCTGGGTGAATCTGCGAATTTCACGTTCACCGATCACACCGTCTGGCCTTGTATAATGAATGACGAAGGTGCGATCGGAATTATTGTCGACCGCGCGCACCGGTAGTGGGATTATTATGATTAATTTCCTGCCGATGCGAGAAAGGCCTAGTCACGATTTTTACTCAGCGGCGAGGTTGCTTTTCGCTCGTATCTTTAAAGTGCGCAGATGTGTAACGGCGATCGATCATTTTGTACGTCGTAATACTTATTTGACGGTCGTTAAGTGCACTCGCCATCGCTCCTTCCCTGAAAAATAATGCGCGTCCTTTTTGTGCGCCGAGAGAGAGAGAGAGAGAGAGAGAGAGAAAGAGATCAATTTTTCTTTCTTACCGACTGCAATATCTACGATTTTTATTGTTAGAATACAATTCTGCAATAAGCAGGACGATTTAGCGCATATTCTCTACGTACGATACTCTTCATATTCTCATTGAGAATAAAAATATACACACTTAAAACACATACAAAAAATGCACACTTATTGGTTTGGGTAGAGAGTCTTCCTGTTTCTCGAAATAGTTGATCCTTGCGTCGCGTTACATACGCTTCAGTTTAATACACGTATACATAATCTAAAATATTTGTTAAATATTACATTTCAGCCGAAGCTAAATGTATGAGACGCAACACAAGTCAACTGTTGCGAAAAACGAGAAGACTTTCTAGTCAAGTCATTTCTTTCTGGTCTGGTTAAGAACATTAGAAATCAAGCGAATAAAAATTCATCTAACATGTTTGTCTCGAAAGTGATTATTAACACTATATAGGCCGTACAGACGCTCAAACTACAAGAGCTCGCGCCATTAAAGATCGTCGCAATCCGAAAAGACGTAAGAAAGTGACGTGGTTTTCCGAGGAGGAGATATAAAAGTCCTCGGGAGATGTGATGCGCGGAAAATAAAACAGTCGTTAAAAGGTTTTATCGTTGATACCAATCGTGTGTCTCTCTTAAGCTCTTCGACGGTGTATGAACGGCTTCATAAAGTAACAGATGCGTCGTATAAAGATAAGGTGATAAAAAGTGTATATGTTTGCCTATCAACTTTTATTCGTTAGTCCGCGTATCTCCGCGATCTATGTTTGAAGAGGCGCCGGCACAGTGACGGCTCTCTCAGGAATCATTTCCCCGATTTCCACGTTTTTTTTCCCCCTTCTGTCCGCCAACGGTGTCGATACATACAAAACGGCAAATGACCTCCGTCGCGAATTTCACGCCGCGCAGCAAGAGAATCGCGTTTTTCCGACGTTCCATCTGCTCGCATGCTCGTGGATGTACCGGGTCGCGCATGTAAATGCAAACAATGCACATCGGAGACGACGCGCGCGCTCTCCAAATTATTCGCATTTTTACAGAAAACGATACTTTCCGCTTTCAAGACGCCTGACAGAGAGACAAATATCTAGAAAAGATACTTTCTTTCACCGCTTCCTTCCCTGAAATGTGTTAACACATCTCTCACCTGAAAGATTACTCTTTTACGATTACGCGCGAGCAAATTCGTTTTATCATTCCTTCCTGAACGGAAACCACGTTATCATTATCAATTATTGTAGCTCCATATTATTACAGGCATACTTAAAATACGTCCTATTATATTTATAATATGTGCATAAATATACTCGTACAAAAATATACTCGAGCGTGTGCTTACGCTTGAAAAATATGTTAAAAATTATTAGACGGGAAAGTCACACACAGAGATAGAGGGAGAGAGTGAGGGATGGGATGGAAAGAGAGAGAGAGATGCACTCGAAAGCCGCGAAGGTAATCAATGTGACTCGGCCTTTTTCCGTAATCGAAAACTCTCGAAAACGTCGACGATCGGACCTCGAGTGGTAACCGTCGGCGTAATTGCTAGAGGAGCACCGTCATAGAAAAATCAGTCCGCAAACACTCTTACCGCTAATCCCGATGAGTCTGTGGAAGGAGACGGGACTCGTTCGCCTAAGGTCTATACTGTCTTTAATCATGGATGGGATCAAGCGAATAATTGGTAATTTGCTTATGCTCGCGAGAGCAAACTATATCCGAAAGCTCGGTCACAAATCCTTCCGCACGCTCCCGACCGTGCGATTTTAATAAGATGCCGGCACCGGGCAAAAGGAGAGACAGACAGAGACAAACAGAGATAGACAGAGAAAAGGAAAGAGAGAGTTGCGTGAGCAAATGTTACGTTATAATTTCTGTTATTATTTTACGATCTGTGTCCATGTTGAATAGAAAGATAGGATAATGCATTTCGATATGCAGTTCTATATATGGGATATTGTATTATCGGCGTTGCGCATTTTGTTTTTCTCTCTTTCAATTACAGATTGATCAATGAATTTTCGCTCCTTCCTCTTACCAGCGATATTTTTGTAACAGTATTATTGAGTTAACTCATATGTGATATCCGCCTTCTTATTTA